ACATTGCAAAGTATGTAATGAAGGCAGCCAGGTGATTGTATTGACTGACACATAGTAAAGGTTGATGCAATCCTGTACTGCCTACCTACATGCATACTTTGCAGCATTCTCATGATAACTATTATACATCTTTTCCTACATAATTGAGTGAGATATACTAGATCAAAATACCAGTCATGCCTGCTTGATTATTTGCATTTAGTGACGTGATTCTATTTCAGTCACACGCTACATTGTTGCAGCATCCATTGAAACCAGTATTACATAAAAGTGATATAAATATGACAGACATTTCCCAAATAAGGAAAACATTCTAGCACAGATGTAACAGGAGGTTAAAAATAAAGTATCCACAAAGGCAGTAAGCACTTGTATCTACTGACACATAGTCAAGGTTGATGTGCTCCTGTGCTGCCTGAGTGCATACTTTGTGGTATTCTCTTGAGACAATCTTATTATTGTACATTATTGTATTATTACTTTCCTGCTTGTATTAATAATTTGATGAGAGACTATAAACCAAAATGGCAACTGAAAGATGTATTGCATTGTGCAAATTGTGTTCAGTGATGAGATTATATTTCTGTTGTGCGTGCCTGCGCCCAAATTAAACATGGAAAAGTGTTTGAATGTGGTATCAATGACCTTGTTGTTAAAATTCTATAATTTTCAATGCTAGATGTATAATAATATGAGGTTATTACGAGGATACCTCAAAGTATGTACAAAGACAGTAAAATGGAAATATCAGGCGTTGCGCAGCAGAGGTCGATACAACAACGTACTGTATACTTTGAGGTATCCTCGTAATAACCTTATTATTATACCGGTACATCTTTTCCTTTCAAAGATACATCATGGGAATGCCGAAATCCAAAAGTTTAGAACAGAATCAGCGAACTTCTTTGTGTGGAGCCCGGTCAAACCAAGGCAGCAGCCATACATCAGTAGACACTTATACATGTAATCATTCCATATTTGGAATTCGCGTTTCCTTATATGGTAGGATGAAAATATCCCAGTAAAGTACAGCAAAATTACAGCACGCTGTAACTTATGGTGACAGATGTATATTACCAGGTACTAGCATATATCTACAAAAACACAGTAATCTAGTAACAAACCAAACTTACTTTGTGAATACAGGAAGTTCAGCTGCCATAACTTTCACTCTTGCAAGCAGCAAACCTATGGTACTTAGAAGTATAAACATGCATCGCACGAAGGCACTTTTGAAGTAAGAAGGAAATTTAGGTTTGCCAGCCACCAGACTTTTTAAAAGTCGTAAAATCTCAAACACTGTCATCTAGAAAGGGTAAAAAACAGAAATGTGAGCAGTGTGGGAGTGAGGGAATACACTGACTGAGAGAACAAACTGTGTGTGCAAGTTACTGAGCAAGTGAGTAAACTGAAGGAGTAAATGAGCAAATGAGCCAACTGAGTAAGTCAATGAGCAAGTAAGTAAATGAGTGAGTCAACTGAGTGAGTCAATGAACAAGTATTAGTAAATAAGCGAGTGAGTCAACTGAGTGAGTAAGTAAGTAAATTGAGTGAGTAAATGAGCGAGTGAATGAGCGAGTAAAGGAGTAAGTAATTGGGTGAGTGAATGAGCAAGAGAATAACTGAGTAAATGAATGTGGGAGTGAATATGTAGACTGTGTCTCTAAATCCACCCAAATTCAGGTGAAAATTCCATACAAGAATATTATTATTAAATTGAATTAATCTCAAAAGTGTTTTTCTATTTTGCTTTCCATACTAACAAACATTCATTTCCGCTAAAAATAAAATACTCACCTGTTGTGCAATAAAAACTTCATATACACAACAAATACCAATTACAGTTATACCCTGTTCTTTGCATAATGTTGCTATGACAACAAGCACCATAGTTACAAACATTGATGCCCATCCTGAAAAAGGAGGAAAGGAACTAGTGATATATATATATATGTAATGGTTTAAGATAGTGACCAATAAAATTGTCAAACCAATACATTTTTAATTAGGTCACATGGACAAAGTAGATATTTTCTATTTTGTATATATAAACAGAATAAAAACTGGGCAGAATATTTTTCACTTTAACATGCAAAATTTGTCACCTAGCTTTAAAAAAATAAACTGCAAAATCTGTTCAGAATTTGTGTTCATGACTTGTAACATTTGGAAAATTACATACACTTGGTATAAAATTAACAGGAATTGACAGAATATATGGAAATGAACCAATAATTGAGGAATTCAAAATACCAGGATGTCATGTTGACAGAATATATGGAAATGAACCAATAATTGAGGAATTCAAAATACCAGGATGTCATGTTGACAGAATATATGGAAATGAACCAATAATTGAGGTATTCAAAATACCAGGATGTCATGTTGACAGAATATATGGAAATGAACCAATAATTGAGGTATTCAAAATACCAGGATGTCATGTTGACAGAATATATGGAAATGAACCAATAATTGAGGTATTCAAAATACCAGGATGTCATGTTGACCTGGACGTTTAAGCTGAATCCCTCTCAAGATTAACAAAGCTAACACAATCTACCTGTTGTCTGAAAATTTATGAAAAGTTATTCCCTATTTAAATTTAGGTCTTCAAAGTTCTCTATGAAAGAATTATAAGTAACACATGCACTAGACTTTATCTCCAGTCATGAGACAAAATAATGAGCAAAGACAACCTGTCTTTGAAATTGCATTTCTTTTTTTCTGATACTAGACTATTTACTCACGGAATCAATAATTATAATTTTTTTGGAGATATACATGTTGTCATACATACCTATTGGCTTGTTTCTTCCGGTGGATTTTGCAAAGTTAAGGAATGCAAGTAAAAGAAATATTGAGGATAATAATTCTGCCCTGCCTACCACTCCAGTCACCTGAATAATATTAATAATCATATCATATCATATACCATATCATACATGTATCATATCATATCATATTATATCATATATCATATCATAATCATATCATAATCATATCATAGTTATCACCATCATCACATTACAATCATTATAACTATGACATCATTATCATAATCATAGTTATCATCGTCATTATCACTGTCACTATCATCTTAGTGATAGAATTAAATGGCAGCTATGTTGTCTAAACATAATGTCTTCTACATTGAATGCCATGACACATATGGCTGACTCTAATCATAAAGTTTATAAACACCAAGACCAAAAAAAAATATTTCTGGTCAATTTGTTTTCTGAAATCAATGCACATGATGGCTTTGTTAACTTGTCATTAAGGTAGCGAGAAAGGAAAATTTGTAATTGTGATTATGGCTTTACCTGGCCAATATTAAGCACGTAGCTATGGCAACGCATATGTTTACAGAAAGCTGAGATACAGGAGAATACGATCAAGTATTTTCCGTGTAAATATTTGCGCAGGAGTTTATGGTTAAGAACATTCCAGTGAGTCTCTTGGAATTCAACACTTATCGATTGGTCATATATAGTGACGAGGCATGAAGGAAAATAGCTTAGGCTTTTTTTTATAGTATTGAAATTGAGCACTGGGTGATGTAATCTTTGATGCATCACTCTGCAGTACATGGTATGCAAGCAGAGGCAGGTTTGCAGCAATGCATCCTGGGATATGAGTGTTCCCCTGTGATGACTTCCAAATTGATTTACCCAAAGTCCCTCTATAGACTATAGAGGAACTGTGATTTACCCTCTGTCAAATGCTGCATGCCTTTCTACTCATACCAAATGTCACATCTCGTTATTTGTAGGACAAACACTGCTTTTACATTGAATAACAAAAAACAAATTTTGAGTTTAGCCGTTGCCTTAGAAACTTGTACAGGCTGGTGAAAAAATGTTTGAATTTTGTCTGCGTGGAGGAGGGGGGGGGGGGCTGTATTCACCTAAACGTTTGATAGCTCATCAGAACACCAGGAACCAGAGAAACCAGCAAGTGAATTGTGCAAGCTGGAAATCAATCCATTCTTGCACGTCTATTACGCAAATTCTTTTGCACACATTTATTCATTTCTATATCCCACCTGTGTTTTTTGATTGTATCTTTCTGAAGAATAAACAATGACGTTTGTCAAGCGAACGAACCCACATCTACTGACAGCATTTGCGTATATGTGAAATGATTTATGATCAGTAAAAAATGACGTCAGATGGTGATTTAATGATGTACAGATTTCTGATTGTCTAAATTCTCAAACGTTTACTTACTGCTTCAGTGTGTATGGGATGCACAGCAAACATCAAGGCAGCAATAAAACTTGTAATATCACTGAATAACAGTCTACATATAGCCATAAATATAATACACACAACACCATGTAATATCATATTAACTAAATGGTAACTCATCGGTTCCAGCTCAGTCATTGCGTAGTTCATACGAAATGTCAACACACACAGCGGCCTGTACGACTTGTGGCTTTTCTCCTGTAATAAACAAATTCCATATTTTAGAAAGTATAACTACCAATTGTGCATCAGCCCTAAGTGTACATATCATTTAAAATGTGTAATTATGCAAATTTTCTAATTTGTACCCAAACTACGAGTACTCGAAAACACTATAAAAGAATACTGGGATTGAAAACTGCGGAAAACTTGAAATTGAATGAATGTAGTTTCGCGTGACGTCTTTCTTTGCACCACATTCTATTATTCAAGAGTTTGATTTAACCACCGTCCTGGGACGGTGATTTAACCCATAACCACCATATCTCACGTTACAGGAACATCATAACTACTGATTCTATTTCATGGCTCATTTTACTACATACCGGTAAGTTAAAGATTTCAACTAAGTTTAACAGATATTATAACTTCAACATATTTGAATGTTCATTGTGATCAATGTGCTTTGATGGTTCAAAATCACATTTAAATCACAAGAGACCTTGTAAAAAAGTCATGTTATTTATGCCTAAGATTAAAGCGCGGTAGTCGTCGTGCCACGCATGCGCGAGATATCTGGGTCTCATATAAACAATAAGCGACTTTGACTGTTGCGCAGATCAACGAGTACAAACTGAGACGTTTTGATTAGGTATTTTGAGATGATTGGAAGTCACCAGCGGTAATCAGTGCAAGTCGCCCCAGGTCAAATCTTATACTTATGATTTCCATTAGAAGAGCGCATTGGATTGTGGGAAAATCAATGTTTATCAACACAAATGTTGCACATGCGCAGTGCGACGACCACCACCCTTTAAGTAATAGGACTATAAAGCAAAATGGCTACAAGTCTGTTATCTTTCATTTGGTCACAAATTGAATTGTTATGGACATGTATTGCTATATTGTACTGCATAATATATTACCAAGTGCTTAACATACAATGTATGTTTGAGAATAAACAACTTGGAGTACCAGTTAAGTTTACTCACACCCATAGTTGCATCTGTTGTATGAGCTAATATGCATCTCGGGAGGAAATCTTGCCGTTCATGAATTCATTCGCTACCAAACTCACTCATGTTATCGTAACTGATCTTTTTTTAATAATAATAATAATTACTATGTTTTATAATATTTTCATTTTTTGATTTGAACATTTAATACGTTTGGAAGATATTCCCACTAACATACATGACACACAAGACTATACGAGGGTAAAAAATACAAGTAGTATCGTCGGAAAGGAAAACTAGCGACAGTAGACCATCTTTGATCATATCATGAAACAAATCATCTTTAATCAAATCAAATTACAAAATGAAGATGACACATGTACTAATCTTGCAATTCTGAAAGTTAACCTGACCATTTCTCAGCATAATCTAAAGTTTGCATCTGTTAAACATTGGAACTCAAATGTATTAATGGAAAATCACAATAAAGTAATGTATGCGAGGTTGAACAAAACGTTATTGATTGCTCATTCTACATACAATGTATCGTTATGTAATATCTATTTTTATAATTTTTATTAACACTTACACATTCCCCGGAGGGATTGGCAATGGTTACAAAAGTTTAAAAAGGAATAAAAGGTTACAAAACAGAAAATAGATAATAAAAAAATAAAAAAAACAATCTAAGCTAATACATTACAGATAATAGCTAGTATAAAATTATGATACTACGATAGATAGAAAACAAAATGCAAAACTCAAATAGTGAGAGAAGGTTGTCACTGGGGTTGCTGTCTTATTTAAAAACACTTCTTTAGGTACCTTGCTACGGGGAGTGTTAGGCCACTGTTGTTTAGCAAGGCTATGAATTGAGTCTTTAGCGGCAAATTTTTAAAGTTTTGGATTTTGGTTTTTGCTATTTCGAATAGGACATTTCTTTCGGGGGTATATCTTTTACATGACATCATGAGGTGATACTCATCTTCTACTTCATTTTTATCACAAAGGTTGCATAATCTATTAGCAAGGGGTATTCTTTTGTGTCTGCCAGTCTCAATTTTCAAGTTATGGTCACTGAGGCGGAATTTAGTTAAATTTTCGCGCATATCAATGTTTTTCAGGGTAACAAGGTATGTTTCGAAAGCAAAATTGTTTTTTAATTCTCTGTATGTTCTTAATTTATTTTTTTCATTTTGTTTTGATCGATTGTCATTATGTAATTCACTTTTCCAAGTTGATATGAATG